GCTGGGCTCCAACTTCTAATTTTTCACATTGTTATCTGTTTAGCTCTAAAAACATGACTCAGTGGTTAAGCGCACTTTTGTTCTTTTAGACTTCTAAGAATTGTCAAATTTTCAAGTAGAATTAGATTCCCCTTTCCTTAGACATAGTTACACCATTCCTTATTTCTGTCTATCACTTATTATACAGTATTATTTGTGGTAATATTTTATTTTGCTTTAACAAATAAAGCTTGCCTGAAGATCAGAGAAGCAAAGCAGCCAGCCAATAGTTCTTACCTCAATGAAATCCTCAGACTGAATGGGATATCCTTTTTCTACATTTTTTCAGACTGAATGTATCTACAGAACCTCAGACCTAATCCTGAGCTCCTGTCTCCTCCCGCCTTAGATTTTTCCCTCTGCCCAGCCATATCACTTCCCATCTCTACCTCTCTAGTGCTGTGATTAAAGTTATGAGCCAGCATGGTCCTGTTTCTCTTTTAGACTGAGTCAATCTTGTGGAGCCCAAGGTGGCCTTGAACTCCCAGAGATCTGTCTGCCTGTCTCCCAAGTGCTGGAATTAAAGGTGTGTGCCACTACTGCCTGGCTTCTATGGCTAACTACTAGCTAGATTCACACTCTGATCTTCAGGGAAGCTTTGTGTGTTATAGCACAAACAAAATATCACCACAACTATTAGTCTACATGTTGTATTATTTTTCTTCTAGAGCAAAAAATAAATAAATAAAATACACATAGCATGGTTCTTTGCTTTATATTTCTGTGACTTAGAATTTATTATAAGTGTATTTGATACAAAATGAGAAGTGTCTGAAATTGGTCTCATAATAGGGCAATTGTGAGCAGATTCACACCCAGAGCAGTCTCATGCAGAGGGAAATGTATGACAAAACTGTGGTATAATCTAGAGGAGCAAAGGAGCATTCTTGTATGCCTTGTGATACAATTTTGAAGCATTCGGAGAGGATACACAGAGGTTGATCGAGACAAGACGCTTTAGGTGAGTGAGCAAAAATGGCTACATATAGTGCTGTGCATCTATATGAGGCATTTGTTGTTTATTGTTTCATTTAATGTTAAAGAGTGACTGCAAAATAGATATTATTGTAAGAATAAGAATTAGAGACATGAGTTAATATGATTACATACACAATGATAATAAAAAGGGATAGTGGAATAGTATCTGAAGCCTGCATGTTTTCTAATGCTTTTTCTGATACACCAGAAAACAAGTCTATGCCTAATATATAATTAGTAAGGGTATGACAGACAATGATGCATTAAATTAGTATGCCACAATAAAATGTTTTATAGTCAAATAAATTGAGAACACTGAATTAAGTTGATCATGTATATGTATTGCAGAATTGTTTAGATCTCTAAATATTCTGTTTTCTCATTAATCAATAGCAAGAAAAGCATAGTATAAGCATTTTGTAAATTAATTTTATCATAGAATCATTTCATTCTTAGGTTAACCACTGCTATAGCTCATGAGATTAGCATTAGGTCAAAGCTGAGAAATACTGCCTTCTACCCTGATAGCAAATATTACTTCTCGCAAAGTTTCATTTTGTTTACAAAGGGAGAGTAACCAAAACAAAACTGGAATGATTTCCACCCATTTATTCATTCAGAAGTTATAAGCAAATGAATCATATGGCTCAGATTTCTTCTAATCCAGTTTGATTGTATGTTGATTTTGGAAGTTCCAGCATGAGTCTTCTTGAAGTAAAAAAGGCTTTGTGTGACAAATTCTGATTATAAACTTTTTAATGAGTCATTATGGTATAAGGCCAGGTAGTTTACTGGTGTTCGATCACTGCTTTACTTTAGGTATTCAGTTGGATTTTAATTGTTTATTTTGTTGAAGAACATGATCCACATTTTCTGTGTGTGATCATAAAAGATAAGAGAAATTACAAAGTAGCTACTGGAATGCCTCTTTATATTTCCATTTAGTTATGAATTCAGGTGGCTTTCACTCCCATTATAACTTCAAAATAACTAATATATACTGTCTGTCATATATGTGTCAGTATGATTTCATTTCATATCATTTATTTATACATATGAGAGTGTCTGTGTAGTATGCACATGCATGTATGTGAGTTGCACAGAGGCCAAAGGGGGTCATCAGGTGTCCTGCATCACTCTCCACCTTATTCTTTTAAGGAAGTATCTCTTGCTGGAACTGGAGCTTCTTTTATTTTCCCTAGGATAGCAGCCAGCAAGCTTCAAGAATCTTCTAGCCTCTGACATCCTCAGTGCTTGAGCTATAGCCATTCACAAGAATATACATAGCTTATTTTGTGGGTGCTGAGATCCACACCCCAATCCTCATACATATACGGGAAACAGTCTTAATGGCTTAATAACCTCTCTAGCCATGAGATGTTATTTTAAATATGCATATCATAATAAAATTATATTTAAATTTGACATAGTAGGTAGAAATATAGACTCTGGATACACTCCTTAAGAACTCTGCCCCATACTAATGATGTGAGTGACATGGAACAAGTAACACATTCTATCTGATATTTATTTACCTCTACTATAGTGTAAAATAAAGAGCCAGTGAGATAGCTCAGTGGATAAGAGCAATTACTATCAAGTCTGGAGACATGCTCTTTTCTGATATCTTCATGTGTACTATGATGCATGTGCTAATGGACACTCACAATAAATATAAATAAATAAATAAATGCAATAAAACATTTAGTGCTGAGACTATAGCTTGGTAGCTCAGTGGTATAGTGCTTACTTTGTAACTATGAGGCCCTAAATTTAATTCCCAGTGCCATAAAATATTAAATAATACTAATCTTTATCTAAAGAAATATTGAGTTTAATGAGTTTAATTAATACACACACACAGAGACACACACAGAGAGAGAGAGAGAGAGAGAGAGAATGAGAGAGAGCACGCGCGAGAGAGAACACCACCTCATGTACACCTCTGAAATAAAGTAGTATTATGTAGTTATTGGCAGATTAATTTCAGGATATATCAAGCCTATATTGTTATGTTTGTGAATCTCTTAGAATCTAGCTAAGAGATGGACTTTCCACCAATACTATTGAGTATTGTACCAGAATTCTTACCTAGTTGTAAAGCAAGAAAAAAGTTTGCTTTAGAAATGAACAGTACTGATATTAATTGCAGAAGTTTATCTCCATAGAAACCAAGGGAATATGCAGGCACATTTTTCAAGAGGATAGCAACATTATTGCAAACCATATCTTTAAACAACAATCAACTGTTCTTCTGAATGTCACCAACAAAAAAATTGAATAAAGACTCACATTGACATCAGTAACTGGATGCCAGATATATAAGAGGTTTTTTTGTTCTCAGGGAAGTGAGAGTCTGATTACAAAGAATAAGACTCAGTCTGTACAGAGGCACTCTGGCCCATGAACCAAGGTAAGAGAATCCCTTGAGAGGGTCTCACATAGAAACATCACCTTCTTTGTCTGTGAATGTTAGGGCAGGGGTTTCTGGAACAGGTATTTCCATCACCACACTCCATAGTCTTGTGGAAAGTGTTTCAGGGAAATAGAAGACCTTGTGGAAGCAAGGAATACAGACTATAGTAAGAAGAATACAAATGCTTTGAGTCTTCAATCTGAATGATAGAAAAATCCCACCCAAACCTATATAGCTATTTCTGAATCTCCTATAAATTTGTCAAACAAGGGCTGCCCCCTCCACCCCATATTGCTATTGCTATTGCATATTGGTATAGTAAAGATATTGGTTTGAGGGGTTGTGGCCTCTGGAAGAGGAAGAGATAAAAAGGTGCCGGGAATTGTAGACACAGACTAAGAATAAAGCCTATTTTTAAAAAATAGTCACTATGTTTATTAAAAATGACATATTAATGAAGGATTAAAGGCTTGCTCTAAGGAGATAGTTAACAGTTTTGATTTATTTATTTATTTATTTTATTTTTTTTTTTTTGTGGCAGAAACCTGTTTATTATTGACTAGTGGTAGAAAAATAAGTGAAAATTTATCAGAAGATAACTGTATTATATATGAAAATTACATGGCATTTCTATCACTCCATGAAAACCTTTCATTGAGTTTATCATTATTTTTTTTCCGTTTATTTATTTATTAAAGATTTCTGTCTGTTCCCCGCCACCGCCTCCCATTTCCCTCCCCCTCCCTCAATCAAGTCCCCCTCCCTCGTCAGCCCAAAGAGCTATCAGGGTTCCCTGCCTTGTGGGAAGTCCAAGGACCATCCACCATCCAGGTCTAGTAAGGTGAGCATCCAAACTGCCTAGGCTCCCACAAAGCCAGTACGTGCATTAGGATCAAAAACACATTGCCATTGTTCTTGAGTTCTCTGTAGTCCTCATTGTCTGCTATGTTCAAAATCAGGAGCAGAAGGAGAGAGAGCACGAGCAAGGAACTCAGGACCCTGAGGGGTGCACCCACACACTGAGATAATGGGGATGTTCTATCGGGAACTCACCAAGGCCAGCGGGCCTGGGTCTGAAAAAGCCTGGGATAAAAACAGTTTTGGTGCCTGTCCTGGAACTAGCTCTTGTAGACCAGGCTGGCCTCGAACTCCCAGAGATCCGCCTGCCTCTGCCAGAGACAGGCACCAAAGCTACAGAGAAACCCTGTTTCGAAAAACCAAAAAAAAAAAAACAGTTTTGATTTATAAAAGTGCTATTTCATAAAAAAATTAAGATACAAAATAATGTGGTTCCTTTAATGCTTTCACATTTTATGTTGAAGGACTTCCTGCACTTTGCCTCTTTGCCACTGGCAGGCTTCCATGCTTTGCTCCCAGTATTTTACTTTGTATGAACTTATGGCTATCACAAGTTCTAGTTCTGTTTCCTAAAACCTTTCCTGCGCCTTTAGCTTGTTCTACAGCCCATCCTACCCCTAGTGAAAACGGATGTGAGGTAAGAGGTCTTTGTTTTACAGCTTCCGGTAACGATTGTAGGTGACGTACACTGACTTCCGCTTCCGCTTAGGCTATCAGAAGAGGCGACGATGGGCAGGCGAAGGACGCGCAGCCGTTGCTCTTCAGCTGCCGGAGGGATTGCAGGCCCTGTGGTGGTTTTGGAGGTAAGGATATGCGAAAAGTTTTAGGTACATTGGTGTATAAACCTTTCCTCACAAATAGAATGGCCTCTGCTCCTTACCATGCCTCTACTGCCTGCGCTGGTGGGGAAGGCCTGTTACATGGATCTGGTTTATGGTGGCGTCCTCCATTTTGGAATCCTGAGGGGTGATTTCTCTGACAGAGTTTAACTCTAGTCCGTAGAGGGAAGCTTCCAGACAATTCCGGACGGACGCCAAAGTACGGGAATATATTGTAAAGTCTTGGGGACCTTTTTCAAACAGAACATAGCTTACGGAAACACGCCCAGCCATGAGCCCACAGAAACTGCTGTGTCATGGCCCTCAAACTGCTAGAGTTACATGGCCGTGTCTCATGGAAGGCGCATATCAATTCCAATGCCTGTACAATTCCAAACCAAACTGGGTCCCACTGTGAGATGGGGAAGTAGGCACGAGCTCCTGTCTCCAACAACAAGTACTTTTTCTAAATTAACAGCTTCTTGCAAATGAAAAATTAGTTTCTCCAAGGGAATTTTCCTGGATATCCAAACCACGCTTACGGGCAGGTCCCATGCCACCACCCAGCAGTAAATAGCCAACACAAAATAAACTCAGAGGTATTGTGGAGGTTTTTCCCTCCTAATGTATTATTTGGACCCCTTCCTGCCCCTCCCCCATCCTCTGTTCTGCCAACCCATATCCCCTGCCCCCATGCATGCCCTGTCTGACTGCCCAGGCCCCTCCTCCACCCCATCCCGCTCCTCCCCATTTCCCCTTTCTCCCCACCCCCACCCCCTGTTCCGCCCCTCCCCCCACTAGTCTTTTGTTTCTATATTATTTATGGTTTCCAACTTTGAGGGTTTTCTTTTCAAAGGCAAGGTTTCTCTGTGTAACTTTGGCTGCCCTCAAGCTCACTCTGTAGACCAGGCTGGCCTCAAATAAATGTAGAGATCTGCCTGCCTCTGCCTCCTAAGTGCTGAGATTAAAGGCTTACACCACCACTGGCCCAGCCAGATTTTTAAGTTTTTATGGGTTTTGCTTATGTGTGTTTGCTTTTGTACATGCCTGTAAGTGTGCATGCATACACATGCATGCTGCGTATGTGTACATGCTGGGTGTGTGTGCACACACTTATGTGTCCATGAATGTGTGTGCACATACACCTGTGTGTCAGTTTATTTCCCATTTTGTTTCTTTTTGCTCTTTGTTCATTTTGTTTTATCCTTGTTTGCCTTATTGCCTGTTTGTTTTCTTAAAAGAGAGAGAAAGAAACCTTGGGATTAGAAGGTAGGATCTAGGAAGAAATAGGGAGGGGAAATGATGGTCATAATATATTCTATGAAAATTATTTCAATAAAAAATAAAAATAGGAAACTTCTCTTCTAATATTAGCCCAAGAAGGCCCCAGACAAACATGTCTGTATGAGACCCCTCTCATTTCCAGGCAGTCCACTATTTTACAAAGGTGGGGCTGTTTATATGTTGACTATTTTGTTTTAGATATTTTTAACGTGGGTGGAATCTGAGATGGGGAAATTCAGGTCGCCAGAGGGGAGGACTCTGAGGGAAGACTAATGGACCTCCTTTTAAGTACATACTAGATTCTTCTGCCACTGCCAAGGTCTAAAGGATAGTGAGCAGAGGTCACTATCCTTAGTCTTATTGGTCTTAGTTAGGGGAAGGCACTGTTCTAAGTGAGCAGAGTTGGCTCTATCTGCCCAACCAAAGAATGAGACAAGTTCTGTTAGCAAACAGTATGTGGACCCTGAACAAAGATGGAGGGAATGCTTGAGCCTTTAGAGATTTGCTGTTCTTACCCTGAGAGACCCTACTTTCTGGTATATTGATTTGTTGTGCCAGTATCCCCCCGCCCCCGTAGTGTCAAGAGACTAGAATCAGTTTATCAGAGAGAGGTGTCTCGGGCCTTGCCATAGTCAGTTGGAGGGTGGAAAGAAGACACTTTGACTAGGTGAACCTAGTCTCGTATACTGCTATTAAGAGGACCCATTCACTCCATAACTGTGTGGACCTGGCAGAGTGTACTTCTATACAGCAGTTAGTCCCAGGCTGTGCTTGTTGTCTGGGACCTGAGCCCCTCTCCTAAATTGCTTATATGGAGGTTCCAGGAACAAAGGACATAGTTACTGTACTGAGTCATAGCCAGAGACCATAGAGTAGAATGGAGTTGGTAGGAGGCAGGCCCATGAGACCCAAGAGAACTACCTAAGATAAATACTGAGAAAACCTACGTCACTGCTGACAGCTTAGCAAACCCTCACATTTTTTCTCTCACCCTCAGGCCACTCTTCATCAACTTTCTCCTGCCACTTACCTGCAAAACAAATTATAATGTCCCACAGGCATGAGCAAGGCCGTGAGGCCCAAGAAGAGAATGAGGGTCAGGTCAGCGAGGAGGTTCCTGTAGCTAAGGAGGTGGGCACCTCAGAGGGAGAATCTGCTGCTCAGGTTCCCTGTTCCTCCTCTGCTCCTGCCCAAGCCACTCTACCAAATGAAGGTTCTGCTCATCAAGCAGGGAGACGTCAGAGCGTCTCAAAGGCCTACCTCTTCTCCAGGTTCTTGCTCAACAGTCAGCTACAGTATAAGGTGACCGAATTGGTGAAGTTTCTGAGTTTCAAGTATACAACAAAGCAGCCTGTCACTGAGGCAGAAATTCTGAGTATTGTCAAAGAGTACAAGCACTACTATCAAGTGATCTTCAAGCATGCCTGTGAATGCATGGAAATGGTTTTTGGCATAGAAGTGAAGGAAGTGGATGCTATCAACCACTCCTATGAGCTCCTTAAAGTTCTTGACCTCACCTATGATGGGCGCTCGAGTGGTGATGACGAGGAGGGCATCCCCAAGTTAGGCCTCTTGGTGCTCATCCTTGGTGCCATCTTCATGGAGGGCAACCGTGCTCCTGAGAAGAAGATCTGGGACATGCTGAATACGGTTGGCGTATTTCCTGACCAGCATGATTTCATCTGTGGGAATCCCAGAAAGTTCATCACTGAAGAATTGGTTGCTGAGAAGTACCTGGAATACCAGCTGGTACCCGGCAGTGATCCTCCATGCTATGAGTTCCTGTGGGGCCCAAGGGCCCGTGCTGAAACCAGCAAGATGAAAGTCCTGCAGTTTTTCTCCAAGGTTGTCCGGAGCAGCCCCACGGCCTTCACAGCTCTGTATAGGGAAGCCTTGAAGGATGAAGAGGAGAGAGCCCAGGCTGCCCTTGCCTCCGTGGCCTTTCCTGTTGCCCCGGAAGATTCAGGTTCCGCGGACAAGCCCAGCAGCTTCTCCCGCCCTGAGTAAATTGAGGCTGCTTCTTCACACTGATTAAAGACAGCAGTCAGATATTCGAGTAGAAGAGAGTTTGGATTCTTTTTCTTTTTGTTCTGTCTCAAAGGGTTTATTAGCTTTAGAGTCTCCATTCATTAACTGTGGCTCCCACGTTTGTTTCAGAAGAAGAAGTTTGCTGCTGTGAAAAGCGTGTTGAGAATATTCTCAGCTTTGAGGTCTAGAGGAAGATCAAATAGCAGTGCAACAGAGCTTTCCTTGGACACATGAAAGATCTAAAAAAAAATGACAGATTCTATTGTTCTTGTAGTCTGTTTTGTGAAGCTAAACATATGCACCTCTTACTTGCTTGATTTAGTGAACAATGCATGTGCAGTTAAAGGTTAATAAAGTGCACTGCCCTGTTTTCCCAGCAAACAGTGTCTGTTCTTTGCAAGACATGTTTATATCAGGGGAAATTCATATGTCAATGAGGAAGATGATGAAATAGTGTGAAAAACAAAGACTTAAGTTAAAGGCCTGAGGAGGTGGGATACCAAATAACAGCTATAAAGTATCAGTGCTTTGAGCTAAGGCATTTGGGGGCTTTGGGAAATCACAAATCCTCTGTTAAGGTAGATGGTGGTAGGGACCAGATTCTCAGGCAATGTGTCTAATACATGAGAGAAAAACTTAGAAGGAAAAAAAGTGCTCAGAGAACTTCTCTTTGAAGTATGCTAAACAAGAAATAAATCTCCACTGGGGACGGGGACCATTATAGAAGGTGACGTGAACTCTTTCTGAGTGCTATCAAACATACTGTCTTACCTAAGCCTTGTGTACAAAACATTTCTGGGAACTCTGACAATACCGCCTTCACGTGGTGGATAGAATTCTCTAGGTCTTAACCCTGGTTTCAGAGAACCCACTCCTCTGTAAGGTCATTTTTTTTATTTTTTAACTTCCTTTTGATATTCTTTGAGTCTTACACATCATACATCTCGATCCCATTCATTTCCCATCCCTTTGTATCCAACCTCTGCCCTTACAAAGCCTCCCCAAAATAAAACGAAATTTAAGAGAAGGGAAAAGGAAGCAGTAGCATGACACAGTGAGTCACGCAGTAGACCCTTTTATCCACATTATCTTTACTTGCAAGTGTTCATTGCAGAGAGTCATTGATCTGGTCCAATGCCTCTGGTTTCTACTACACTATTGGTGCTGGGCCCTCACTGGGACTCCTCTTGGTTATCCTGCAGTTGCCCTGGGTCATGGAGATCCTGCAGCTTTGGGTCTGCAGGGCTGGCCTTCCTGTGCTCCAGCAGATCACAGATGGGGTGGATGTTGGGGTGGGCTAACACATAGCCCTGGTTCTGGGCCTGGGTAGTTGAAGGGCTGGTCAGCCCACCAGCTCTCCCCTGTCTTCACCTCTAGGGCAAGCTCTCCAGCATTGCCCAGCTAGTTTTCCCCTTGCAAGAGGTGGGGCCGATTCTGCTTTCACATTCTCAGAGATGGCTCTCCTGCTCCTACACCTTCAAGGCCAGCTCTACTGTGTTGCCCAGGCGTGTGCAGGGGACACTCTCCTGAATGCTTCAGCTGGTGAGGGGCAGGGACAGCTCTCCCACCTACCACAGGCAGTGAGGGGCAAGGACCTCTCCCCCCCACCCACACCACCATATGGCAGATGAGGGGTGAGGCCAGATCTCCCATGCTCATGTTTTCAGATGGGCCTGCACCTAGTCAATAGGGTCAGCTCTACTGTGCTGTCCAGGCAAGGTGCAGGGCCCACTTTCCCGAGTGCTGCAGCTGGTTAGGAGGCGAGTCAGCACTCTTGTCTGTTGCAGTAGGTGAGGGCTGTGGGGGGACATCTCTCCCCCACCCACACCACTGCATGACAGATAGTAGTGGGGACAGCTGTCCCACATTTTCAGCTTTAGGGCTAGCTGCCCTCCCCCCAGGGTCAGCTCTACTATGCTGCCCAGGAAGGTGCATGGCCTCTCTCCTGAGTGCCGCAGCTGGTGCCAGGCAGGAACAGCTCTCCCGCAGTTAGACTGTGAGATCGTTAATAATTAGGTGAGCCTGACATTTGTTTTGTCAACTTTTAGCGACGGTTAGAAAATTAGTGGCAGTTAAATGAATGAAAAAAAAATGATTTAGAGCATTGGGGTGAGTTTCTGGCCCACGGCGCCAGCCTGGGACGGGGAGCTCGGGGGTTTCTTGGCCCCCTGTCCTGCTTGGGCTCTCTGCTGCCTCTTTCTTCCTGGCCCACCCAGCTTCCATCCAGAGCCCTCCCCACTTCGCCCCCACTGCCCTCTTTTGGCGCGTGGCATCGCCCAGCGCAGCCTATCTGGGCGCTGGGTCTGAGTACCCAGGACTCCCGGGCGGGCAGCAGTTCCTTTGTTTCTGTGGCCTGCCTGCACCAAGCGGGGTAGGCGCTTTGTCTGCGAGCTGCCCAACCAGCACGGAGGCCTGATCTTTCGGCGCCAGGAGACCCAGCATTGGGGTGAGTTTCTGGCCCACGGCGCCAGCCTGGGACGGGGAGCTCGGGGGTTTCTTGGCCCCCTGTCCTGCTTGGGCTCTCTGCAGGGCCTCTACTCCCCGGGTGCTGCCTCTTTCTTCCTGGCCCACCCAGCTTCCGTCCAGAGCCCTCCCCACTTCGCCCCCACTGCCCTCTTTTGGCGCGTGGCATCGCCCAGCGCAGCCTATCTGGGCGCTGGGTCCAAGTACCCGGGGCTCCTGGGCGGGCAGCAGTTCCTTTGTTTCTGTGGCCTGCCTGCACCAAGCGGGGTAGGCGCTTTGTCTGCGAGCTGCCCAACCAGCACGGAGGCCTGATCTTTCGGCGCCAGGAGACCCAGCATTGGGAGAGCCAACATTGGGGAGAGACAGCGTTTGGTAGGCAAGGAGACCTAATCCGGTAAAAGAAGATCCATAGGGAGCATTTGGAAGAAGAGATGGGCCGACGTCAAGGCAAGAATTCGCCCAACAAGCTGAAACGCAACATGAAGCTACCAGAAACAAGCGACCTCACAACGGGAGGACAAGAACCCCTTAATCAAGAAGAAGGAGAAAAGATTGACTTCATGAAAGTGATTGACACCCTTAAACAGCATGTAAAAAACGCCCTTATAGAAATGGATGAGAAATATAACAGAAAGTTTGAAGAATTGAATAAATCAGTGAATGATACCCTAGAAAACCAAGGAAAAACAATCAAACAGATAATGGAAACAGTTCAAGACCTGAAAACTGAAATAGAGGCAAAGAAGAAAACACAAACAGAGGGCCGTCTGGACATGGAAAATCTAGGTAAATGAATAGAGACTACAGAAAGAAGCATAACCAGCAGAATACAAGAGATAGAAGAAAGACTCTCGGATTCTGAAGATACCATAGAGAAAATAAACACACTGATCAAAGAAAACAGCAAGTCCAAGAAACTCTCATCACAAAACATTCAGGAAATATGGGACACAATAAAAAGACCAAACCTAAGAATAATAGGAGTAGAAGAAGGAGAAGAAGGGCAGCTCAATGGTCCAGAAAATCTATTTAATAAAATTATAGAAGAAAACTTTCCCAACCTAAGGAAAGATTTTCCTATGAAGGTGCAAGAAGCATACAGAACACCGAATAGGCTGGATCAAAAAAAAAAACATCCCCTCGCCATATAATTATCAAAACACAAAGCATACAGAATAAGGAAAGAATATTAAGAGCTGCAAAGGAAAAAGGCCAAATTACTTATAAAGGTAAACCTATCAGACTTACACCTGACTTCTCCATGGAAACCATGAAGGCCAGAAGGTCCTGGATAGATGTACTGCAGAAACTGAGAGACCATGGGTGCAAGCCCAGATTACTATACCCAGCCAAGCTTTCATTCACTATAAATGGAGAAAATAAAATTTTCCAGGATAAAAACAAATTTAAACAATACGCAGCCACAAATCCAGCCTTACAGAAAGTAATTGAAGGAAAATCACTAACCAAGGAGTCCAACAATGACCACGTAACTCAGACATCTAGAGACCCTTCACCAACACAAAACAAAGAAGGGAAACACACAAACTCTACGACTAAAAAAAAATGACCGGAGTTAACAACCACTGGTCATTAATATCACTTAATGTCAATGGACTCAACTCACCTATAAAAAGGCACAGGCTAAGAGATTGGATAAGAAAACAGGATCCAATATTCTGCTGTCTACAAGAAACACACCTCAACCACAAAGACAGGCACCTACTCAGAGTAAAGGGCTGGGAAAAGGCCTATTAAGCAAATGGACCTAAGAAACAGGCAGGTGTGGCCATACTAATCTCTAACAAAGTTGACTTTAAACTTAAATCAATTAGAAGAGATGGAGAGGGGCATTTTATACTCATAACAGGAACAATTCATCAGGAAGGAGTCTCAATCCTGAATTTCTATGCCCCAAATATAAAAGCACCCACGTACATAAAAGAAACATTGCTAAAATTCAAGGCAGCCATCAAACCGCACACACTAATAGTAGGAGACTTCAACACTCCTCTCTCACCAATGGACAGGTCAATCAGACAGAAACCTAACAGAGAAATAAGAGAATTAGTGGAGGTAATGAATCAAATGGACTTAACAGACATCTATAGAACATTCCATCCAAATAGGAAAGAATATACCTTCTTCTCTGCAGCTCATGGAACCTTCTCGAAAATCGACCACATAGTCGGTAACAAAGCAAACATCCACAGTTACAAAAAAAATATTAGTAACCACCTGTGTCTTATCAGATCACCATGGATTAAAGTTAGAATTCAACAATAATGCTACCCCCAGAAAGCATACAAAGTCATGGAAACTGAACAGTCAACTATTGAACCATAGCTGGATTAAGGAAGAAATAAAGAAAGAAATTAAAGTCTTCCTGGAATTCAATGAAAATAAAGAAACAACATACTCAAACTTATGGGACACTATGAAAGCAGTCCTAAGAGGAAAGTTCATAGCACTAAGTTCCCACTTAAAGAAAACAGAGAAAGCTCACATTGGAGACT